TTTCTATTTTAGAGAAAATTTAAGGCGATTTATCACATGCCCTAAAAAAATTGCCTTGCCCTTCTCGTCGCTTAATTCGAGCCCTGATGTTTGGGCACTGAGTGATAACTGAAATCATAGATTAATATGGAATTGCACATGACACCAGCTCTCGTCTACATTATGGCTCGCTATTTGCCATAACTTCATTGTAGTCGCATATTAACGTATTCCTATTATATGCACTTTTGCCTTTTACTTGCGCCTTCCAAGGTGCTGACAACTCAAATAGCTTCCGACTACTTCGCCATGTCTCTCGTGTACAACTACTATCATGTGTTTTTTGGATGGTGTCGTAAGAATAAGTTTCTAATATAAGATGTCACTAATGTATCAACTAACTACATAATACTGAAAATAAATGAGTTAAATAATGAGTAAAGCCATTTCATTTCAGGAAACATTTCCAGTAGATGTTCTAAGACATGCAGCAGAGCTTGGCTTTGCAGCAATTTACTGTAGTGAGGATTATGGAGGCATGGGAATGAACAGACTTGCAGCTTCTATCATATTTGAAGCTTTAGCAACTGGATGTGTCAGCACTACTGCTTATCTCTCTATACACAAGTATGTCACAATATTTCAATATGTCTTTTAAAAGAAGATTGCATCCGATGTCTGAGTTAATTATTAAAGATGATATTTTTATTAATAATAAAAAAGTCATTAATGTTCTAAAGGAGTCAATTAGCCAATTGCATTAGCAAAAAGCTTCATTTACTATGATATTATGGAGTTTTGCACTTGACACATTTTCTCGCCAACTGCAGATGTTGAGGTTCTCATATTGGTAGAGATGAAAATGAAATATAGACTTCACACAACGTCAAAGCCTGATGCCTGTTATATAACATGTACGGAAGATTTCTGTTGGTTTTGCATACTGCAGTATGTGTGCATGGATGGTGGATACATTTGGGACTGAGCAGCTGCGAGAACACTGGATGCCTAATTTGTGTTCGATGAAGAAGCTTGCTTCTTACTGCCTCACTGAACCTGGTATGAGTGCATCGATGAATAGCTCCAGTAGAATTCAGGTCTTGCTTGAGATGGGGAAAACTAAATGTCATCAGTTTAATCTAAGTCGTTTTTGTAATTGTATAATATATCATTGTATTTCATGTCCCTTGTTTTACTTTCAGAGCTGTAAAAGTATGGTCTTTGCATATATTATGGGGTGGAGAAAGCCTGTTTTAAAATATGGTGGGTTCTGATTGAAGTACACACATAAAAGCTGTTCACGTAATACCTTTTATTTGCAGACTTGATACAATGGAATCATGTTGATTAGCTCATTATTTGCAGATAATCACAATGAGTGAGATTTGTTTGCTATTCATTAAAGGGAGTGGGAGTGATTCTGCTAGCTTGATAACCACAGCAAAGCGTGATGGGGACTTCTATATCCTGAATGGCTCGAAGGTAAACAATCTACAAAATTATTTCAAAACTACAATTCTCCACAGGCATTTGAGCACACTTCTTTTCAATTTCCACGTTCGTTAGATAATAATCAGCATGTAGAACCAGTAGTAATAATCTATGTGGATCATGAAATATAGTTGACTTAATCCTTATTGACCTGAACAGGTGTTTATTAGTGGAGCCGGAGAGACAGACCTTTACCTGGTCATGGTTAGAACAGGAGATAAAACACCAAAGGGTATATCCTGTGTCATGGTAGAGGCTGGAAGTGAAGGCCTTAGTTTTGGCCAAAAAGAAAGAAAGGTGATTTTCTTTTAGATCATGGATAGATTGATGGTATCAAGAGTACATAATAGAAAAGAGTATGACACCCGTTTAACAGCGTTTTGCATAGTTTTTAACTTGTAAATATTCTATCAATATGTGAATAAATATATTCAAACTTTACCTTGTTTTCTTAATATTATATTTATATTGATGTAAATGACATTGGTTTTATTGGGACCCATGTTCTCTATCCTTGAACCGATATGTGTAAGAAAGCGTCTCGTTCCTTCGGTATGTTATGGCATGGTAACCTTAGCTTTGCCTCTAAAATTCGGTCCTTGGCTTTTAAAACTAGTATGGTTCTCTCTATAAGTATAATATTAATAATTACAAATTAATATATAAATATGTTTCTCCATGCTGGTGCCCCTATACAGTTCAGAACTTTTAAATTGGATGCCATTCAGCATAAAGCTGCGAGATGGGTTTCCAAAAACTATCATGATAGTGCTGATGTTGTGTTGGCTCAACTTGATTGGCCTCCTTTTCGTGTCCAATTTCTCCATGCTATACTTATAACATTCATCAAATTTATCATGGTCAGCTGAAGGTTGGCATTCCCTCTTGCTTGATGAAGCTTGTTCATTGCACACGATCATCTGAGTATGACCATTGCTTTCACCATGTGCCATCTTCTAAGGATCCCTTTAAAGTGGCTAGTTCTCGCAACAAAATGCATAAATACATCTACTGTGAGCATACTTGCAGTATGAAAACATCACGAAATTATTTCAATGAGCCAGAAATGTGCTCGGAAGAAGAGCATTTTGAAAACATTCTTGGAGATGGTTTTGGCTTTTGTATCGTGACATACATATCGATATATGTATCATATCATGACCCTAGTGTATTGTTACTAGGGACAGTGATTTTCCGCGATCGCAGCAAACGGTCGGAAAAAACGTAAACGGCTATTGGAAACGGAATAGATGTTTTCAAACGGAAAAACGCAGAAAACGTAATTTGAAAATATTACAACATGGAAATTTTAATAAAATCACACAAAAACTGTCAACAATAGCATTGGTAATGATATGGTTTACATTCAGATTCATTTTCATTTTTCAGTACTGATAATTTTATTATGAACACATTACCACAGGTTCTTTCAAAGGTTGTACCAAATACCTTTTTTTCATGCAAATAATTATATGTAAACGGAATTTTGCATTTTTAGCTTATCTGATGTAGTCAGATGCAGCTTGTAGAATCACATGATCGTGCGTGCCGTCAGTCCGTCCGGCCATGCGAGCGTCCGTTCGTCCGTCCCTCCGTCCGTCAACAGTTGGGCACAAATCTAAACGCTCGACATACGGTTACGAATATTTTGGGAACGTGGGGGGTAAATAAAAACCGAAAACAAGTTGGGCTGTCGAAGCTGGGGGTCAAAGGTCAAAAGCGCTCAAGAGGTGGTAACACAGAAGGGGGAACTATTCCATCCCTTAACTTTAAGCCGTATAGGGATGAAATGCAGAAATTACGGCACAACATCTAAAACGCGCTCGTAACTTTAGGCTCGCTGATAGTCGGTGTATAGCCATCATGGTAGGAAAAAGCCATACACTGTGCCGAAATTGAGAGGATCAACAGGTGCAATGGGCGCACAGGCAGATTTTAGACATTTTCTGAGACATTGGGATCTGACGGGCGATTGACAAAAACTTTTTTTGATTTCCCCCCCCCCCCCCCCCCCCCCCCCCCCCCCCCCCCCCCCCCCCCCCCCCCCCCCTGCGGTGACCTAGCATTTTTAGTGGCATTAATTGAAAGACGACCATGAAATCTACTTCTGCTGACATAGCCGAAGTACTAAGTGTCAGTATAACCCTTTTGCCCCTCAAGAGCGAAGGGTTAAACATGGATTTGTTGACTGTCTCGTTAGCAAAGAATTTGACCTGCGGGTTGTGCTAGTAAGAATTATGTCACAGGTGAAATTTCCACAAAGCTAAATTTTAGTTTAAGAAGGTTTTATGCTGCTTAAATGCTTATAATTTCTATGGCTTCTGTTATGCAGTATGTTACAAACTTACATGTACCGTATGCCACTTCCAGCTGGCTTACTGCCCAGTGCATGTGTTGGTGGTACTGTGTAGATTTTGCCTGCATTAATGGTTACAGGTGGCAGCTCTCTATTGCAGCCTGTAGGCTTGTGTAGGTAATGGATTGAGTGCCTTCCTATTCTGTCTTGCAAATATTGTTGTACTACTGTACGATGGAGCATTCCATCTTTAATCTGAAGACACCTTAAACTGTAGCGCCATCTGCGTGGCAACTTTTTATAACGATCCTTAACGAACATTCTTGCAGAAGGTTCCCTGGGGATTTTTAAAAACCCCCAAAAATCCCTGTGCATTCCACTGTTTCGGCGTGTATGTGAACACATTTGGCGACTAACAGGCTTTACTAGAATCCACCACTCCACCACAGAGTCA